CAAATTTGTTATTTGCCCCATTGGAGGGTTGGAAGCAGAAAAGCGTAGAGGGGTCCCACCTATAGGGAGGAACGGACAGGACAGGTGACCCAAAACTGACCAACAGGGTATTCCATCCCATCTGCATCATGCTCAGTATAAAACCTGAGGGATCAAAGGGTCAACTCTCTTCCTGCAATGGCTGACATCCGAGGAGGACCCTGTCTGTTTGTCTGCCTTTGATCCAGATCTGACCATTCCAGATCCAGAATCCTGCTCCTGTCCATCACCAAGTCCAGCCTGTGACTTCCCTCTGTGCCTGCTGGCGATGTGATCATCATGCTGGGAGCTTGATACGGTTTTGTATATACTGTATACTTTTTTTTTTTTCCTTTTCCTTTTTCTTATTATTATTTATTATTTTTTAATTTCTTTATATTTTCATTAAAGTAGCTTAGTTTTTTCTAAACTCATAGATCTCTTTTTTTCTCTTCCTCTCCTCTCTTTTCCTCTGGGGGGGGCAGGGAGGAGGGATCATCTGTCGTTCTGGTTGGTCAATCTGGTCAAAACCATGACAGCCAGTTACATTTCTGTGTGATGCTGAAGATGTGCTGCAGATGGAGAGGACAGATCCGCATCTGCCCGGTTATAGAAGTGACTTATACCTTTTCCCTGGCTGTATGGTGAACGTGGTGTCAGTGCTGAATGCGTGGGCCAAATTCCAGGGTTCGAAGGATGAAGGGGGTTTGGGAGGGAAGGCAGAGAGCTCTCAGGTTGGGAGGTGCTGTTATGAAAAGCCTGAACTACAGATGGCTTGAAAAACACATCTGTGGGTAGCTGTGGTTTTTCAGTTCCGGAGCTGGATGTGGCTTGGAGCAGCAACTCTGAACTCTGATGGTGGGTTAGAGGCAGTCTGTCGTCATCAGAAATCTTCCTTTAACCCCTCTGGCTCTGACTCTGCACACTCAACTCTGGCATTTTCCTGCCTTCCTAGGCACTGCCAGCCCTTGTGAGCGGTCTTCGCTAAGTAGTAGTGATTGCCAACATTTTACGAGGGCTGCTGTGTCAAATACTGTCAAAGCTAGAGAGGCAGAAGGAAAAGCAGAAATCTGTGGAAGCCTTCAAGGCTTTTACTGTGAGTCAGAAGCAAGAAAGGACATCTGTATTTAAGTTAAAAGTGTAGTTAATCCAGCCCGAGTCCCACCACCAGCCTGCAGAGGAAGCAGAAGAAAGAAGCATTACCCAATTAACGCTGGAATTAATACAAGATAATTGTTCTGTTTACTTGTGAGTCAAGTCAGTTATGTTCGTTTCAGACAGAGGTACTTTTTGAATTTTTGAAAAAGTCTTCTGGGACAAAAGGAGCATCTGCATGAACGTCTCCCATATCACTGTCCTGGACATGCTCAGTTTTCTGAATACTTCTAACTTGTATTCATTAATAAGTTATGGTGTCACTGATTTTGGAGACTGTGTGCTTTGTTTTCCACCAAACTTTTGTAACTGTATCTTAGTACTCTGGTTAAACCATTTTGTTGTTCTATGATAATTTGACTGTCTTGCTCCTACTATTTTTAGCAAGCAGCCTTATGTTTTAACTTAGTGGATGTTTGGTTTTTTTTCTTTTTTCTTTAACTTAGAAGGTCATTGTAACCTTTTAGGGTTAGTTTAATGATATGTACCTGCTGGTTTTTAACCCATTAGCTAATGTCAGACTTCTTTGGTCTAAAGTTTTAGCAGAAACACACATTTGGAACCTTTCAGGAAAAACTTCTGCTCACTCATATCACTCAGTCCCCCATCCTAGGCATCTTTTGCTTTTTCCTGCTTCCTAAGAGGCATAGTCAAGGTATCCTAGGCTTTAATTAATGACTTAAAGTCTCTGAAGAAGCAAAAGTGGAGCTGGTTCTCTAGATGTTTTTCTGAAATGTAGCTCATCTCTTGGTAAAATACCTTGAGTATCTTCAGTGAGGATGAAAACTTGAATATGCTTAAGTATTTGCTAGTCTCTTTCTTCTTCCTCTTCCCCCTCACCTCAGTCTCTGTGTTCCTCTTCCTACCACAGCACATGGGGTTGGGGACCAAGGACTGGTTGGGCAGGAGCCAGGTACTGTCTTGGGTTATGGCCGGTTCATCGTATCTCTGCCGCTCCTTCCCCCTCACACTCTTCCCCTGTTCCAGCGTGGGGTCCCTCACATGGGAGACAGACCTCCACAAAGTTCTCCAGAATGGGTCCCTCCCACGGGGTGCAGTTCTTCACAAACTGCTTCCGTGTATGCCCTTTCCACAGGGTGCAGTCCTTGAGGCATGGACTGCTCCAGCGTGGGTCCCCCACAGCATCACAAGTCCTGCCAGCAAACCTGCTCCAGCATGGGCTTCTCTCTCCACAGGTCCTGCCAGAAGCCTGCTCCAGCATGGGCTCTCTATGGGGTCACAGCTGCCTCTGGGCATCTACCTGCTCTGGCATGGGGTCTTCCATGGGCTGCAGGTGGATATCTGCTCCAGTGTTAACCTCCATGGGCCGCAGGACACAGCCTGCCTCACTGTAGTCTTCACCACAGGCTACAGGGGAATCTCTGTTCCGGCATCTGGAGCAACTCCTTCTCCTTCTTCTCTGACCTCAGTGTCTGCAGGGTTGTTTCTCTCTCTCATATTCTTATTCTTCTCTCTGTTGCAGGCTTTTTCCCCCTTCTTAAATATGTTATCCCAGAGGCACTACTGCCATCACTGATGGGCTCAGCCTTGGCCAGTGGTGGTTCCCTCTTGGAGCTGGCTGGCATTGGCTTTATTGGCCACAGGGGAAGCTTCTAGCAGCTTTTCAGAGAAACCACCCTGTAGCCCCTCTGCTACCAAAACCTTTCCATGCAGACCCGATACATGCTCAGAGCCTGGGAGCGTTCCTGATGAGTACAGCATCTTGCTCTTTGACCTGTACGTGATTTTATTTATTTGTTTGTTTATTTTTAAGCAGCAGCACTGTTTCTTTAGACAGCTCTGTATGAACTCCTGAGCAGAGATTGTCCCTTTGTCCCAGGTACAGAAAGCCATGCTGTAATGCCTGGGCAGATTGCTGTGTTTTAATAACCCTTTCCTTTTCCCTGTCTGTAGATCACATTTTAAAGGTGCTGCTGTTCGACTTCAGCCACACCTTCCTCCTAGGGGCTCTCCAGGTGTCTGGCAAGTGATAGCACTAAATCTTCTGGCATAAAGAAATATGACATATTATAGATAAGAAATCAGCGCAGAGGTTAATTGCCATCTCATCTGCAAACAGAGGGCTGTTACTCTTCAGCAGTGGCCAGAGTGGTTGCAAATGGCACGTTGTATGGCATCTCCCTGGCTAAAGGCAGGTGTGAAGGGGACGTCTAGAGCACGGGGAGGAGGATGAGGATGCGGTACGGCTCCCTGTCTGAGGGCTGCCCTGGGCTCTGTCCGTCTCTGCTGTGCCCTGGTTTGTCCTGGCCCCAGAATGTGAAGCAGCACCGGCTGCTGCTGAGCTGACGGCGTCTGCTGGGCATCGGGGCCAGCAGCGTTGGCAGAGGGTGGTGTGGGTGTAACTGCTGCTTTCAGGACTGGAAATAGCATCTCTGCCTGGTGCTGTATTGAGCAAGCCCAGGTGGGGACTTGGTGCCAGGTAAAAGCCATGCACTAAATGCCTACAGAGTGCTAATTTGCCCGTATAGACAAATTCAGAGGCTTAAACTCAGCGTCAGTTTAGCTCAAGCAAGAAAACAGATGTTTAATAGGTATCTCCGCACTGTTTTATTTTAAGAGTGCGAATCATTCCCAACAGTGAAAGTACTTTGCCATCAGTGAGATTTCTGCACATCTTTCCTAAAACATAGAAAATGTCTTTTAATTAACTCTCTTGTAGATCAGTTGGGTTTATATATGTATATAATTTAAACTGTCATGCTTAAATGTGTGTGCAAGCTGACTTTTGAAAGCAATACAGTTCCTGTATGTTTTCAGAGCTCAAACAAGGGGTGCGAAAATGGTTAGGATAAGTAAACAAATCCCTTTTTATCTTGAAATCATTTTGTAGATGTAGGCTTCTGTAACGTAGCACTTTTGAATATAAGCTGTTGGAGAAGCTCCTGTAATTCTGGTTGGCAGACTGTACCTGGGGGGGACTGCACACAGAGAGCATCAGGAGATGCAGTCACCCACCCTTTCTCTTGCTGTCTGAAAATGCCCACTTTATGAGAGAAGGACCTCATCACCTGCCTTCTGGTGCATGGGCTTGGAGGTTTTCTGTAATCCGTTTGTGGAGGTGGCTGTTGTCAATGCTGTTCTGAGCTAAGTTGCACTTTAATTCTTGCATTCTGCAGTATTTCTGGTGCTGAGTTCATTCGAGGTGCTGGTAAATCGGTCAAGACACACAGTCTCCTGACTTCCCCCTCTCCTGGCCTGCCAGGATGAGCTTCTGGGGACCAGCCACATCCTTCAGCAGTAACTGGGCTGTGCTGGAGGTGGGGGAGCAGGGGACCCTTGTGCTGAACTTCCTTGCAGAGAAACTGCAGTCTTCAGTATTACACATTCCATAAATGGATATTAAAATACACAATATGTGTTTTGAAAACTGTGTGAATATCTAGAAGAGTATTACTTTTGCTAGCTTCACAATTTCATGTGTCAAGTGTGTTGTAATGACCACTCATTGAGTGGGAAAAGGGGAGGGATAGTATAAATAGCCTTTTAAATTAGCAGAAGAAAGGCTAAATGATGATGCAGCAGAACTGATAAGGGGGGGGAGGAAATGAAAGATCTTTGTTTTATGTCTCTGAGCTCTGCAGAAGTGCATTCTGTAAACTCACATGGGAGATGCTGTGCATTTGATTAGCTTTCATTCATTTATTGTGGTAATTTAATGCTGAATAAGAGGCATGCAGAGTTGTTGATACTTGCAAGTTTCTCATGTGGCTGTTTTCTTTGGTGGCCCAGAAGAAAGTTGATGTATATAAATGACAAAAAAAACCCCTGTGCCTCTGAGCTGTCATTGTGTTCTTGCTTTCTTATAGGCTGGTCCAGGGACCATCATCATGGCTTCAGGAGTTCAGGATTTTAACAGAACGGAATCTGACAGACTGAATGAGATCAAAGGTCACCTGGAAATAGCCTTACTGGAAAAACACTTTTTACGTAAGTATAAAATTAATGCTGTGTGGAAAGGCATGGCTTAAGCCTGCTGAAATAAGGCTTCTCTAAACTGCCGAGCTGGCGTCTGAATTTTGAGGTGGGCTGATGTGTGGATGGCATGTGGGCTGATGTGCAGCTAGCACGTGGGCTGACACTTCTCTAGGAGGAACTTAAAAGCATTCCCAAGGTTTCTGTGTCACTTGGATATTTTTTTCCTCATTGCATTCCTCAGAACATACCTCACTACGTGACAAAAGCTGCTTAGTTGAAGTCCATCTTCGGCTTATTTTAGAATTAACCTTAATGTGGTTGCAATTGGTGTTTTTTAATCAGTCGTAATTGTATAGAAGGAAGAGATTTCTTAAGGGGTGACCAATGTGTTTCCTCGGCAGCTGTTTCAGCAAGTACTCAGCACTGGTGAGGCCATACCTTGAGTATTGCGTCCAGTTTTGGGCACCTCAATCCAAGAGAGATATCGAGGTGCTGGAGTGGGTGCAGGGGAGGGCAACGAAGCTGGTGAAGGGTCTGGAGAACAAATCGTACAAAGAGCGATTGAAGGAGCTGGGACTGTTTAGTTTGAGGAAGAGGAGGCTGAGGGGAGACCTCATCACTCTCTACAACTACTTGAAAGGACATTGTAGAGAGGTTGGTGCTGGTCTTTTCTCACAGGTAATTAGTGATAGAACAAGAGGGAACGGCTTAAAGCTGCAACAGGGTAGGTTTAGACTGGACATTGGGAAACAATTCTTCACAGAAAGAGTGGTCAAACACTGGAATAGGCTGCCCAGGGAGGTGGTTGAGTCACCATCCCTGAATGTGTTTAAGAGTCATTTAGATGTGGGGCTGGGGGATATGGTGTAGGGGAGAACTTTGTAGAGTAGGGTTGATGGTTGGACTCGATGCCAAGGGTGTTTTTCAACCTGAATAATTCTAAGTAATATGTCTTAAAGCACATGTGTCTTAACAGTATATGAATTACTGGTAAGTGGTGTAAGAAATAAGAGTATCTGTAGATTTCAAGTGTTACTTGTTTGGTTTTGTGTATGTGTATATATGTATATTTGAGACAAACTTGTCATTCATGGCTGGGGTACCTATAAAACTTCTGGGATTTTATCTCAGCAGATCCGAGCTGCTGACTTGTAAGACAGGATAGTTAAAACTGAAAAAATGCGAGACAAGCATGCTCCTAACTTGATAAAAGTAGAGATCTCTGCAATAAATCAAGGAGAATTCTTGCTCAGTTGCTCCCCAAAAGGGTCATTTTAATGGATTATTTTTGGACTTCAGAATATAAGGGTTGGTTTTATGAGTTCAAAGCTTGCAGATATTTTCTAAGATGTAGAAATAACAAGGTTACAGATTCTATTAAATTTCTAGATTATAATTTAACATCAAGAACTGTGTTTTATCTTCAGCATATTCTCAAGGATTTGGAATTAATTTTCTGTGACTTTTTTGTCATTTGGCAAGATTTCTTTGATATTTTTTTCCTTGTATATGAGAAGGAGGCATGATAAAGGAGACTGGGCAAGAGTTTATAGTGAGCTGCTATCAGCTTCCACTGATATCTGGAAGAGGTATCATGATTGGAATAGCAAGCAAAAACTGAAAGGTCTGTTTGACTCACCTTGTCAGTTTCAGTGATTTATTTGAATTAATATTTAACTGTGCAGTACAGAGTTACCACGTACTCCTTCCATCCCCAAAGATGTATTGCTTTAGCTGCTGTTATCAAATTGTTCTTAGAACTAGATGGGACATTTGTGATTTCCTGATGTAATCTGCTGTGAAACAGGAACAGTAGGACTCCCAGAACTGATTTCTGGTTTGAACTGGGACATGTATGATATGGTTCCCAAACACTTCCACAGCTGCTGTATCCATTTCCAATCCATAGTATGTGGTTACAGTAACTATGTGGGGCACTTGTTTTTGTGAGTATATTTACTTTTTAGATTCATGCTGTAGTTTGAAAACCTTCAGATCAACCATGTTACCACTTCTTAGCTGAATCTGTTTCCTTTGCACAGACCTTTGTAGCAAACTTCAGGGTAAAGGGATAGTGAAGCTCATCCTTTCATGTAAACTTTGTGCAGATGGTTGGAGGTTCAGCCAACAGGGTAGTTCAGCTGGGTGATGTGGGTCAGTCCCAGGTGACTCCAGCCCGTACTGTTAGGGCAAGAGCTCTTTACCAAAGCCTTAGATTTGCTTTAGCTGCAATTATAGCCTTGTCCTGGCAATTTGGGTGCAACTCTGTACATAAAAACAAGAGTAAGAATGATAAACTGATAGAGAAAGAAGCACATTAACAGTCATCCCTTACCCACCCACCCCTTCAAAATTTGGGGTTGAAATACATAGAATTGTAGAATAGTTTGGGTTGGGAGGGACCTTTAAAGGTCATCTAATCCAGCCCGCTTGCAATAAGCAACTAGACCAGGTTGATCAGAGCCCCCGTCAACCTGACCTTGAATATTTACAAGTATGGGGCATCTACCACCTCTCCAGGCAACCTGTGCTGGTGTCTCACCACCCTCATTGTAAAAAATTTTTCTCAGTTGGAATGAAGTAGCAAATCACTTTTTGGATATGGGCCATGTATTCTTTTCTTTTTTTTCCTCCTTCTTTTTGAATTAAGTTTTTTTTTTTGGTACTAGAATTGATTCAGTATTTTTTTCTTCCCAAAAGTGAACTGATGGTGAGCAGACAAACGTTCTTGAAATGTGCAGTTTGTTTACTTTAATTTGCCCTTGGAAGAAAGCCTGATTTTTATTTTAATCCTGTTGCTGCAATAGATTTTTTTTTTTTAAGAAGGCTAGTCACTCAGCTGTATTTGCATACTATTTTTAATAATGGAATTCCTTAAGGACACCTTTCTAGAATTGTATTTTTACATAAACTGTTTGTCATTTCCTCCTACTCCACTTCCTCCAGCTAGGTGTGCAGAAATCAAAGCAACTGCTAATAAGTGGGGGAAATGAAATTTAAAGTTCTATGGATATTCTTTATAATGTGTTGAGTTTCTAATCATTGTCAGCTTGATCCTGACTTCATTTTTGCCTCTTCCATACCTCTTATTTGTAGAGGTGTGGAGGAGGAGGAGGAGGAGAGATTTTCTCCTGGTTATATATTATATATAAGGTACAGATAGACAACACTCCTATAAGTCAGTGTGGGTTTGCAGTTGCGAGTGCCTGACTAAAGGAAGAGCAAACTGCTAAGTCTTCTCTAAGCTCCATTCAGCCATTACCAGGCCCAAGTAGAAGGTGCAGTTTGGCTGAGCAGTGTTTTCAGTGAAACTCATCCCAAACCAAACTGCAGCCTCTAAAAGCTGCAGAGGAAATCTGGAGCAAATAGTTACTGGAGACAACTGGTTGTCTGTAAAGGGAAAATATCTTCTTCTAAGATACCAGATGGATCCCTTCCTTAGCGAAGGGATAATCTAAACATCCGGAGAAGTGGCGGTGGAGAGGAATTGCTTAGCGTGTTGTATGGCTGTAAATGCAAATAAAATGTGACTGGAAATGTGAGGGGTTTAAGCTGCGGAGTGACAGGAGGATGAGGCACGTGGAGGAAGGGATCGTGGATAATGACATCTTAAGCAAGGGAGGGATCAGCTGACTCTTCCAGCCAAAAGGGCTAAAGTTGCTTTTCCTGTCTGTGTAGGAATGGTCTTAATCTCTGTAATCTAATGGCTCCTTCTGAGCCTTATTACAGGAATGCTGAAAACGTGCACGTTGGGTCTGGTGAGTCTGTGGCATCAGGGTAGGTTCCTGCAGATGGGGGCTTGAAAGCCTGCTGAAGGGGAGGTGTAGAGAGCTTTGTCTGCTGGACCTCTTGAATGCACTTGGATGGAGAAAGCTTTGTCTTGGAGCTGTTTCCATCAGAATCATCCATTTCTAAAGGATTTTGTGTAGTACTATAACCTTGTTTTTAATGCATGTGAACACTGCCTTGGTGATAGCTGAGGGTTCAGGATGGGAAGGCGACTACTGAACTGGGGCAGCTAGATCCACATGCTAAGGTTAGTAGTGGTGGTAGTGCTTCCATTTCAAAACCTAGTTGCATCTGACCAAGAAATAATAACGTGCTTGCTGCTCTTGCATTTGGTAAAACAAAATGATAGGCAATATCTTTCTAGGTTTGCACCTCATTGGGGTAAACATTCTGTTTTTCTTCCCATTACTGTTTGTGCCTCCTTGTGGAGGGCAGTTTTGCAGGTATCAGCGCTCCGGTCCTGGTGCTACACGGTGCTTTGTAAGCACACGTGCATCCTATGGTTTGTGTGTGTTAAACCTTTTGCAATGCTAATTTTAGCAGCTCAGGGAAGAGGAGCTGGTGGTAGCAGCAGCTAAAAGTAAACAGGCCAGGTGACTGTTGGGGAAGAGGGTTAGTCATAAACTGGTAAATGAAAGAAATGCCGTGTGAGGATGAAAAGTTCTAGGAGGAAGTAAAGTCCTCTCCCACAAGGGTTTTGCATTCCACTCTGTACAGCAGGCTGTGGCAGGAGTCTCTGGGGGCTTACGAAATGGCTGGTTTTGGTTATGTTTTTTATACTGACATTACAAAAGAAGTCAGGATTATGCTTCTTTCCCAGTGGAACTTCCACTTCCCCACACTCTTCATTCTCACATGACTTTTTAGACCTTGTATGTGACTGACTTCACAGTGTTTTCTCTGGCTTCTGCTTTTTGGTATAAACGACCCAATGATCCTTTGTAAGAAGAGCGACCTAGCAGAATACAGACCTCATGAAAGTAGAGCTCTAGAAAACTGTAGGTGGTCTGCAGACAGATCTGGGGTGTTACAAAGCGATAAACCTTAGAGGTGAAGTGTGTGGTGGTGGTTGTGACTAGCAAGACCTGTGACTACAAAGTCCTTTTCTGTAAAGAAAAGCTAATACCTCCTCAAACACCCATAGTGCAACAAACTGACTATGAAACTGAGTCAGAGTCCAATCACCAGCTATGGCAGAACATCCTTGGTGTAATTTCTCCTGA